GCTCTATTTGAGGATATATATTACTGCTTTTGTAGAGAATATCTGGCAATATTTAAGAAGACTGTTGCTATGCATGAAGTATTCTTATGCAGACTCGCCGCTCACCCAGTCTTTAGTAATGACCAGAACTTCAGGATATTTTTGGAGTATGAAAAGGACGTTGGTAGTTTACTGGTTTTTCTGTAGTTTACAAGTTTAAAAGCTATTATGTTTAGTGTGTTGTGCCGTCTGTTTAGTGACACCATTTATATTAATCTATGTGTACTATATTGTTTCTGTCAGTTTTCTAACTATCTTTTACCTAAGTTTTTTGCAGTCTCTCTCAGTAAGAGGTAAGAATAAGAAGGAGTATGTAGGCTCGATTTGGAAGCGTTTCACGCAGTCGGCTGACGAAGTCCTGCTTTCTGGCCAGGTTGTTTTTGGAATGTTTTTATTCATTTACTCGTTCTGGTCATTTTTTTTTTGTTCACATTTACAATTCTTTCAAACTTTACGTAATGTGTGTTTCTCTTCCTAAACAGAAGAAGAAGGACCTCCAATGCAGAGTAGTCTGTTGGAACCTGTATCTCTAGTATTACCAGAGGTGTAGTCTTTGAGGGTATATTGTTTGTCTTTTACTTGGCTAAGGTTTTCAGAAGGATGTCGATGAATTCTTTGAGCATGAACGTAATTATCTGATTGAATATCACACGCATATTAAAGACGCAACTTCACAAGCTGATCGCATAGCCCGTTTTCGTAAAAGTATGCATCCATCTGGCGCTTTGAAAATTTTGGAATTTTTGGCAGTGTCTGTTGTAAAAACTTCTTGAGCAGCTCTGGTTTTCATGTGAAAAAATTTTTTCAACCCGTGGTTTTTGAGTAGGAGGAGCTAAGTACACAATTTAGAAAACTTTTGTCTCAGAATTTTTTCGATTTTTGATGTCAAGGACTCCGTTTTTAGACGTTGCTGATTCCTATGGCAACGTAGCATCTTGCTTACAGAAGGTGTCTATGGAGGAAAGCGAGCGTGAACAACAGAAAATATTGCTACGAGGAGCTGAAATTTTTGAGAAACTTAAAAAAATTGAGGTAGCTCACTGACTTTTTCTTCCATCTTCTAATTGTGAGTGATTTCTTGTTGGTCCAACCTCACTAAAACTATTTTTGAGGCAAGAGTGGCTACAGACGAAGAGTTAAAATTAAGTGACACTCTTCGTTATTATATGAAAGACACAGAGGCTGCGAAGGTGAGTTCTTTAGTATAGAATTTTTAGCAGTTTTATAACAGCTGCCTGACTTCAGTTGACTTTGACTTTTTAAGATACACTTTGTCTGTGCATTTTTAACAGAATTATTTTGTTTTATTTTATCAAAAAGAGGATTCGCATTGGATTGTTTGATGGATGTTTTTAGGCTTCCTAAAATCTTTTATTTCTAAAGTGTTTTTTAAAGTGTCAGGTAGATGCCTACAGTGTGGCTCATAACTGATTGCTTATTTCTTTTGTTTTTAAACCGTGAATGTATCATTTCTAGTTATGTATTAATTTTTAGTTTGCCTTAATATTTTTTATGCTTTCTGAGTACTGTTAACGAGTCTGAATTTTAGGATCTGCTTTACCGAAGGATGCGGTGTTTAGCAAATTACGAATCTGCAAACAGGAATTTAGAGAGAGCACGAGGCAAGAACAGAGGCATACAGAAGGTTTCTATAATTTTTCGGATGAAGCCTTACTCCGCCTTTTCCGAAAAACCCTTATTTTTTTAATGACCTTTTTTCATTTTACTTATTTGCAACTTCTGAAGATATTTATGGACGTCAATGCTTTAACACAAAAAAATTTATTCAAAATTTTGTTCTTGTATACCGCAACACGTATTTCATGCATACACTTGTAGCTTTTTCGACATCAGTTTTTATTTAGGCTGAAACGGATCAGGCTGAAGCATGTAAAAAATTTGAAGAAATTAGCCAAGTAGCCAGGGGAGAGTTGCAGGATTTGAAGAAAAGACGTTTGGTAGCATTCAAAAAAAACCTCACTGACCTAGCTGATCTGGAAATTAAACATGCAAAGGTAGTTGAACTTTCCTTTGTTTATATTGGTTTCTTTGATTATTTGATTAACTTGTGTAATCCAGCGGCATAAGTTTTTCATCGGTCTTAAAGAAGCAATTTTTTTCAGTTTTTTGACCGCTAAATAAACACTAGTTATTTGTCAAATTGGTTATGGCAACATGTTCTTAATACTGCAGGAGTATTACTTTTGGATTTTTCTTTCTGCATCTTTAGGTCTTTGTAATGTAGATGCACCATCCTTGATCACGACCTATTTGTTTACCCGTTAAAGTTATCGTTTTTCTGAGACATATTAGTTTTTTCATTTTAATTTTAAATCCTCCCGTTTGTCTCAGAGTGATTTAGGTACCATATTTTCATTAGGCAACAGTTTCTTTGTATCGACTTTGGTTTTGAAACTATGATCACAGTAGTTGTAGGGATATCGCTTTGTTTATTATGATTTTTTGAGTTAGTTGCTTAGAAGTTCCAGAATTTTTATATGTTTTGAAATCATTTTTTGAAGTTCTTGACGGATAATTTTGTCTCTCGTTAGCATATCTACTGCTCCTCTGTGTTTCTATTATCACTAACGTCGAAGTATTTAGGCACAGATAGCTCTTCTCCAGCAAGCCCTTGCTACGTTCAAGGCTGAGGAGCCTTAATCGAAGTCTCTTATTTCTCGGGTGTGATTTAAATATTATGGAAGAGTACTTAATTTCCTAATTCTGTTATTTATTTATTGACTTTGTTGCTGATTTTGTGTTATTTTTTTCACACACGGCTTGGAGCAAATTATAGCCTTGTCTTCGCGGTGCGGTAGCCAGCCTCTCTAATGTACGTTGTTATTTTTTCCTCATTTTGTTTTAAAGTTCATAACATTTCTTTTTGCATGAAGGTTTTACGTAGAATGGTGCTGTACCGCGGTCTGAGGATTTCTGTTCTGTCAAGTAAGTAAGTTTTGCAGAGGAAAACTAACGCTTTCAGTTTGCTTATTTTTGTCATAATATAGCTTGGTTTTCTTTTTTGGATTTGAATGCCAAGTAATTTAGTGTAAAGCATTTGTTAATCTACTGTGTTTGTGAATTGGTTCGTAATTGTGACTTGTAGTTGTCGACAGAAATTTGTATCTAAATTTGGTGAAGCTATAATACTTCATTTACAATCTGTCACTTCTTTTGCCGCCTGTGTCTGGTTGATGCCATAGATTGTTTTATGTACTTTTTACTTCGTTTTTTTCTCTTAATTTATTTTTTACTAACAGAGGTTTGTTTCAATGTTCAAAAGCCAAAAATGGGCGATTGTTTTGTAGATAAGACCCAAAGTTTTTTTGTTTCTCCCGCTGTTCATGTTTTGTGGCCTTTTTTTGACCCTTTTGCAACTAGACTGGTCTTTAAAATTGGTTTAAATACGTCTACACTTTGCAAAGGATGAATATTTTCTTAGGATTACTTTAAATGTTTTGGTATTTGCTTTGTTGTTAGAGAAGTAAATATTTGTTTATTTTTCTGATTTCTTGTTGCTTTCAATAAACTTTTACGGAAGTTTCCTTCATTTACCTCATCTTGTTGTGTTGTCGTTTCTAAGCTAATGCTTTTTTATAAGGATCTCCATTGCAAATATTAGTATTTATCAGTAGATTTGTGCACGATGGTTGAAAATGTGCCTCACTAGATGAGTGTTGTTACCCATATTCCACTATTTACTCACTACTATCAGAATCGGGGAAGTTGTCAAGCGTGAAGGCAGAGATACCGGTTCTTGTACAAATTGTGGAACAATTAACGAGGTTGGCTCAATTTGCGAGTGGATTTCAATTCATGTTTAATACTTGCTCGTTATAAATCTGTCCTGTTTGTCGCGTATTCTTCTGCTTGTTGAGAGTCGTGCAGTCTATTCTGTATTTATAACTTTGTTACGGCAGTGGGTTGGGCAAGTAAATCTTCATTTGAAAGTGAGAAAGAAAACCAAATATATTTTCATTCGCTATGAAGGGCTGGAATTGATAAGCATCTGTTTCTTCCGAAAGTGTGTGAATGAGGCTAAGTATTTCCATCAAAAAATTGCGCTAAATATTTCCGTAGTGATAATGCATTGAGATCTGCGGTCCTTTATTGGCCGGTATTTCTCTCTATTCCACTGCACTTTACCATTGAAGTGTCGGGGATGTTATTTGCGTTGTTGTAGCAATGTTAGTTTTTTGAGGAAAATCTGCTGTTATTTTGGGTTATTAGTTATGATTCAGCGTTTCTGTTTTGGATTAATTGGCTGCAGATTAGTAATATTTGATCAATCAGTTATTTATGCACTATGTAAGTAGTTCTCAACAGAGTCTTTTAAAATAGTAATTGATGGGTGATTTAGCAGAGAAGGTTTTTCTTCTCTGTTAGGTTGTGTTTTTGTTACTTCAGTTTGAACGTATTCATACAGTATTAAATTTTTGTTCTTTTAATGATGCGAAATCTTTATTCTAGATTTGATCAAAACGTAAGGCGATTGAATATGGTGATGGGTCAGAAATTTTAAATGATTTTTTTTCCTCATTGAAATTCTTTGATTTAACTTACGCTCGTTCGATTATGTGATCTTTCGTGATCACCGCAAGCTCTATCTGGGATTTAATTTCAGTGTGCCCGAAGGTGCAACTTGGTATTGGACTGCTTTTATTCTTATGTCGACAACTCGGTGAAGTTGAGGGTACGACTTTCATTCATATCCTAATTTTCTTGCAGTTAAAGATTATGTGAACGGTTAAAGACCGCAGTGAATTATAACTTTTTTACAACTTCTGCTATGACTTATGAATTGACACGGGAAGTCCCGTTTTTTTGTGCTTAAGGTAGTGACATGTTAATTGCTGTAGTTCTTTGACTTTTTCGTTTGACATTCCACTGCTTTTAACTCTTCGCTATCACCTTCATCTATTTGGATATTAAGAAAGAAGTTGATTAAAATATTTTTCAGAATGTCGGGTACATCAGACATGTCTGAAGCAGTTGTTCCGTGGCCGAATAAGAAAGATGATTACTACTTGGAGGATTCTATTGGCGTGGGAGCTACTGCGACTGTTTACAAGGTTTGTTTACAAGATGCTTCAAATATTGTTGATGTTACAGAGTACTTTAATTTTCAAATTCTAATTATTCTTTCCATTGACCATTTGTCCTTTATTGTTTCCTTAGTTTCAAAAATTTAATCTGCTCGACTTTTTTTACGATGTAATTTGTTGTTCTGAAAGGTCTTAAAACTTTTTGTTATTGTTATTTTTTACCTTCTCTTTAGCACTTTTGAGTCAGAGTGAAGAACTTAAATTCAGTTATTGTTAAGTCATAGCTCACAGTAACTTCTTTCTCTTTCTTATTCAATTCCTTGTGAATTTTACTCAGTCCAGGCTTTGTGTATACCGCGGAAAGAGTACTGTGCTATAAAATGTATCAATTTGGAAAAGTGTCAGACATCGGTTGACGAGCTTTCACATGAAATACAGGTACGGACGAGGTATTAGTGAGCTTTTGGAAAATTCTGCTCATATTTTAAATAAGAACAGTTTTGGCTAAGGAATGATATCTTGTGACGGATGAGCATTTATTAAATTTTTATATCAAGAGCGTTTAGATTAAAGTATCTTGTACTGCACTAAGAATGTGGGAAG